TACAGAATGCTCATTCTTGGCATTTCATGTTTCCCATTATTATTATGTAATAAAATATTTTCTACAGCATTTTTGTTTTTGTCAATATTAAAATAAGAATTAATTTATTGATACAGATAAAAGTGAGAAAAGACCAATTGCTACACATCTCATAATCCTAGAACTACGGGAATATTTCACTAATGTTAGTAAATGCCAAGGTCAAGCAGTTTCCATCTTAGACAGAGGAAACAAAGGCCATTCAGGACATTATTGTGCTGCTGAATTATAGATTTGATGTGGTTTATTGTAAAACCTGTGACTTTTCATTTTGTCTTTGTTCACACATGGCTTCTCAATCCTATGAATTTTAAATATCTATCTGTCCAAGACTTGTTGTGGCTGGAATTGTAATATCCTAATAAAATTTTAACTTGTCTCTGATTTCCTATTCCATTGAATAGTTTAAATGTATTCATCCCCAGTTCTTTTATTCATTCATGTACCCCTCTCTTGTTTCACTGGCATACAGATCGGAGGCTGAGTGGTTTAAATAGTAATAATCATCTCATTCCTGCTACTGAATGAGAGCTGTCTTTGTTTGTGGCTCAAACCAGACGAAATATGAGCGCATGTGTGTGCATGCGTATCTAGCAATCTGGGTGAGTATACATGCATGCTTTAGCATGCATACATCTCCATGGACGAGTGAAGGCAGGCAGATGGCATGTTGACGCTACGCCTACACGTGCTCTGCCCTATGCAAGCTTTTCAATGACCCTTCACCTCCATCTGACTCCCATTCTTTGGATTCCTCATGTTGCTCTGAAAGGATTGACCAAACTGTAAAGGACCATGACATGCCCGCTAACTCTGGTAAAATGGAAAAATCTACTCAAATAGCCTAATTAAAACAGATCTGAATTCTCAGAGAAATCATCTCAGGATGCAATAAGGCTGTAATAAATATGTAAATTATATGATGTAATAAAAAAAAAAAAGATAAAATTGAAGAACAGATAAAATGGATGATTAGTTATCTTCATTTCAAAATTGAGTCTGTCTTTTTTCCAGGGCATATTCCTTCCATTAAGAAATGAAAGCTAATAGTGACATTGGATTAAACACATGAATTACAATGATAACTGCAGCATTAGGCAGGTGATACAGTTTTTGCTTGGAGTTGGGGTCTTAAACAGATATTTAGAATGAGAATGACTTCAAACTCTGTCCTGGAAAGCTGTGCCTGATAATAACCCAACAGTCTTCTTTTAATTTCTTAAACACCATTTTAATTTAAATCAGACAAGTAGCTTAATATTCTGACACAGGAAAGTAAAAGTCCCTTAACTTAGAATCATTCATAATAAGATTTCAGAGTCATAAAAAAACATGGGAAATATATGTCACTCTTACTTTGAAAGATTTCTTATTGAAGTCAGACTGAGTAAATAGGTTTTGGTTTTGATTAACAAGCTGTTTGTACACAAATTTGGTACAAAATTCAGATAAAAGAAAAAAACATGGGAAATAAAATGGAAACATTTATTGCTGAATTTTTTAGTACATTTTAATTTTGTAAAAAAACAGACAAAAAAAAACCTCCCAGAAGTCTGTAGAAGTTCTTTTAAATCAAAGTTAAAAACTATTGTTTACAGCTGCCTTTGACTGTTTAACTGTTAATTTAGGTACTTTAGTTGCGGTTTGTGGTCCAATTGTTTGCTACCTGCCTTACCACCTGCTTTTATTATGTCTTTATCTTTATTTGCTTTCATTCTACTCTTATTTTGTGTTTATTTTACTGTTTCATTTATATAAAACTTTTTGAACTGTTTATATACTGAACTGTGCGATACAGATAAACTTACCTTGCCTTCCCAGACGATTAGTTGTAAGAGGCCACATTATAATCATTTTAATATATTGCTTTATCAGTTTATCACTCAGAAAATCAACAACCATGTGGTACTTAATCTATTCTACCCCTGTCTATTCCACTTTTTTATGATAACACCTAATGTATATACAGCCTCACTGTGCCACTATCATAACTGCCCCCCTATGAAGCACATCATGGCTGAATAGTTGACACTAAACAAACAAAGTGACAGTTTTTCACGCAACTAATTTGGAATTAGTGTCATTTAAGTCACACCAGGAATCATTTTAGTTTGAAATCTTGGCTCTAAGCTGTGATAATGTTGTTGAACTCGTATTTGGTCCCCTTTCGTAACAAGTTAAGAGAGTGTGCTAGTTGTTGTGGCGCTAACTCCAAATAGAAATATAAGCTAAATGAGGTCTTCATGTACAAATTCTTGTATAAATCAAAACATCAAAGAAGCAATGTATAAATAAAACATTTATGTTTTTTTGTGTCTGGTACAAATAAACAAAAAAAAAAAAAAAAAACAGGTCATTGCTGCAACGTCGAATTTGGGTTATATTGAATTTTCTGTTTTTAAATCGAGAAACTCTGACCTGCAGACCTTTTTTGTTATTTCAACCTAGAGGCACAATTTAAAACATGCTTTGGACTAAAATAAAGAGGTTAATCATATTTAAACTTTAATGTATTGATAAATAGAGTTTAACCTAAAAACATACATTTCTCATTTATATTGAAAAAAACATTCTAGGATTGTGTAAGCAATGGTGGTTTGTGATGTTTTTGCTTATGAATCTGTTTCAGATTAAAGTCTTTTTCTAAAGTTCCTTTAAATTCAAAGTTCAAACAAATTATGAGAAGTTATTACAATAATAAATTTAAAAACATTTTGACCCCCCCCTCAAAAAAAAAAAAAAAAAAAAACTATATTGAATTGCTAAAATACCTCTGCTTATGTGTCTCTGTACTGTTTCCCCATTAATTCATAAATGTTCCATCCGATTAGAGCAGTACAGCCAGTACCTGACAAACCAGGCTGCAGTTTTCATGTTTTTGTGCTTCTACAGGCAACAGAAAAGGGCGGCTGTTCTCTCTCCAACTGGGGGAGGCAGCAATTAGAGCAATGTGAAGGAGAACAAATAGAGACGTCACAGCAGGAGAGACTTAATTAATAGCTGATCTAGATATGGCTGCACACCTCTGCGTTACAAAGTATTTAACTACTGACAAGGGAATCATTAAATGTATCTTGATGGATATCTGTGCATTTGCCCTGCTCTTGCCCTGCTCTTGTCCTGATCTTTGTAAATTAGATGTTAGACTTTCCAGACTCAACACTCCTCTTTGTCCTACATGTGATTTTTTTTTGGGGGGTGGGGGTTACCTTGGATTCCTTTCTCTGCACTTAGGATACCTTTTTTTTTTCGATAAACTTTATTACTTTTGTGCAGTTGAGTCATACTGTATATGTTCATGAAATCTTGCTCTTAACATAACCTAGTTTTTTTTATTAAATCTCCTTTTCTCAGCAAAAGCAGCAGTGTTATTTGTTCTTTATGTTTTTGGCTGAGAATTACTGCATGAGAGGAAAGCAGGTGGTGAAAGGTTTAGAGTAATAAATCCACTAGGAGTGAACTAAACAGTTTTTATGTTATATTAATTAGGAGCCACTTTCATAATTGGATTAGGACAGTGACCTCAAAAGACCCCACATAAAGTCGCTTTATGCTATAAATAAACGCCCTGCGACCTGGAGCTCCCCAAAGTTAGCAGTGAAGAATAGCTTCTCTTCCCTGTCTGGCCAGCAGCCCCCCCTTCGTGACCGAAGAGTCAACCTTTTGAGACTTTAACTGCTGATGTGGCTTTGGTTTGGCTGAGCATAGGTAGAGTAACTAGGAAATCAGCCAGAGAAAGCAGTATGCAAAGAGGAGCTGAATGAAAGTTTCAAATCGGCCAAAGTTTCCTCCTGAATAGGGAGGATATTGTTTGAACAGAAAAGGTAAAAGAGAAGGACGTGGTGTTCTGTTTACTTTTGCAGAGATTCTGTTCTGTTCTGGTCTGGAAATTCAAAAGTGTAAAAGTTTTTGCTGAGCACATAATAAGTTATTTGCTTCTTTCCAAACTCACCTGCAAAACAGGCTTAAATCGAAGGCAACCGGACTTTCAAACTGTTTTTTGAAGACGTTTTGACACATATCCAGAAATCTTTGTCAGTTCTGTTGGCTTGCACCTAAAGCTGGAACACTGATCTTTTTAAGCAGCATCAATCAATGTCAGGGCTGTGAGCCAACAGAATTGACAAAGATTCCTAAATGGGTGTCGAAATGTCTTCAGAAAAACTGACCTAAATTCCAGCTGCCTCAGATTTTGACCTGTTTTGTGGTTGCCATGGCCTGAATGACTTAGAATTTGCACAATCTAACACCTGGACAGGTTTTTGACAATTAGGTCATAGAAGTGTTAACTTCTCAAGTTTATGTTGGTGATGGGAGGGCAAAAAGGTAATGATTCCTTGAATTTAGAGACTTAATTCTTTTCTATTATTACTGTTTTCTTAGTTTTTGCTGTATTTCCCTGTATTTCCTCTGCTCTCACTAAATACTATCCACTGCATGGTCCTTGATGTATGTTCTGCTTGTGTCTTAGTAGTGGCTTTCTTAATGTTTATATTACTTGTTCATGGTGTGCACAGGTGGGTTGGGTAGCCAAAAATTTTACTTAAATAAAAGTAGCACTACTTTTATTTTATTTTAAGAGTAAAAAAAGTATTTCGTAGAGTAGAGATACGTCATCGTATATTATATTATTTATACTCCGAAAAGTATTTTTTTCCCACTAAAGTTACTAAAGTAAATGAAACTAAGCAAAGGTAACAAGTTACTAGCCACATGGGATGTTGTGCCATTGTCACATCCACTAGTCACAGTGGCACATCTGTTTTTCTATAAGACCCCTGCCTGGATCCATGTATTTTACTAAAAAGACATTAATTACATATGATCTTATCTTTTTCTTACAACACCTCAGTGCAGGATTATTCTACAGGGATAAAAGATATACATTTATTCATTAATTTAATATATATACTCATCTTTACCAAATATACCACTAAGTTTGAGTTCACAAACAGCCTTACCAGGGGTTTGGTCTCCTCCTCATCTTTGTAATAGTAGAGAAGTTCCCCTCTCAGAACGAACCAACGGCTGTGCCAGGTCTTGACAAAACCTCCTTGCTTCCTGAGCCAACCACACCGGATCATGTTTGACCTCTGACCTTCAGTGCTGGACTGACCTGCAGTGCCCTGAGAACTGCTGTGTTGGAACAGACTCTGATCGTCCATTGCAGCAGCTCCAATCTGAAAAATAAAAAGATGTTGGGCTTATTACACTTAAAGAAGCAATAAAAAAAAAAGTGTTTTTAATTTGCTTGTTGATGGTGAACCTTTGTGAAAGTCTTTTCTTATGCGTTTCCATTTTGTGGCTTGACCAGAGCGTATTCAGTGTTGTGAGGAGAATAAGGTAGAAATGAAAAGATAGGAGTAGAAAAGCTAAGGACAGATCAAACCTCTCTTTAATCTTTTTTTCCATGTACTGCTATGAATACATTATCAAGCCTGCAAGGTGTGATCATTTAGGCGATTTGTTTATCTCCAAGGATCTTAAATCTATAAAACTTTAATTAAAAAAACTATTTCTTAAAGTAATAAAGGAAAACTGATTTATGCATTATGGTACAACTAAAAAGCTCAGGTCAATCAATCATGACTCTTTCCTTGTATCTCCACGTCTAAAAGGGATACTACTGGAAACACTGCAAAAAATTGAAATCTTAATAAGTCATTTTTTTCTTGAATTAAGTGCATTTTTCTTGAATTGAGGAGGTAAGTGAGACACTTTGCCGATGGAACAAGACAAATAAAATACTTTTTTTTTTTTTTACATTTATTTCATTTGCATATCATATAATTATCTTGTTTAAATAGTAAAAATGCTGATTCGATTAGAAGATACTCGTATTTACCTACTCAAATTAAGGGTAAATACTGTGAACTTGATTTAAGAAATTTTGACTTATTTCTATCTTGTTTTTGCAGTGCAGAAGTTGAAATGTGTGCATTTTGTTCTTTTTATGTCATTTTGGTAAACCTAGGCAGTCTGCTTCCCAAACAAAAACTAAATCTTTCAGCTATAAAAACTGGAAAAAAAAATAAACTGAAAGAAAAACTGACTATAGCACAGCATTTAATTCTAACCTGGCATGTTACTTTTACATTTTCTCACATTGAATAGATGGAAATGTATAATTTCTGCTTCGTAAGTAAAAAAATGTTGCAAGATGAGTATATGGAGACAACTTTGGTTCTTGTCTTTACTGAAACACAATACATTAAAGTAATCTACTTGGAAACAGTTAAAGCTTTCACATGTCCACTCTTAAAATATGTTTGCAGTCCAATTCAAAAACAGTATGGAGTTTTTAAACAGACCATCTGCACATCTTGTTTTCATATCAACACACATTGGTCTGATTTAGTCCGTGACATGCTGATTTAGCCACCGTCAGCTCTGAGAATTGCCATGTTGTCAGTGGCAATCATTGTGCTTGGATTGGTGGACATCCAAGCAGCCCCCAGGTCCAGATGAGGACCAGATGCAGCTCAGCAATATTCCAGACAGTAGTGGATCGGCTGCAACAGGGCTGCTGTGTTGCTGTAATAACCCTCTGGGGTAATGGACAGAGTCATTGTACAGGGACTTGCAAAAGCATATAATTTTTTCAGGGGTTTTCACATTGCAACCACAAAGGGGCTAATCTTCAGAAAGTTTCACTGTTATAAAACAGGTACAGAGCAGATCTTCAAAGCAGGTGCAAGGTGATCCGCGTTCGCGATACCGCATACAGCTTGCAACTGTTTTTGTGTGTGTGTTTGCTTTCATCAATATGCAGATCAAATTCTAATGACCAAACCTTGCAATTTCATGGGTGAATGATATGCAAATGTCAACATTTACCATGTGTAAAAAGGTTATCAAATCAGAAACTAAATTGTGGCCACAGTTTTTTTTTTTATTACTACTGAAAATAAGGTCAAAACTGAAACGGAAAAATATCTGCGGTGATTGTTGCCACAAGAGAGGCATTGGTAAAATGCCAGAGGATTCAGATATTCTCTCTGTGATTGTAAACATATTAGGACCATCAAAAATAATTGAATAATATTACTGAAGCAGATAACGTCTGCAAAGGGTGGCACAGGGTATTGCAGTGGAGCAGCAGACAGTCTTTATAAAACCACTCCATAGTAGTTTGTATGTCAAAAATGTTCTTCTGTTGGAAGTTAAGCGCATATCTCACTCTTAAGAATTTTGCAGCCTTTCACATGATTTTCTGTATTTACCTCCATCCAGCTTCCCATCAGCCTTAACCACAAGCTTTGCAGGTGTAGAATGCAAAAATGACAACATATTTTCACACCTGAGTTGTGGGTCTCTCTCTGCATCTACTTAAATACTTTTTAAGTTGGACTTAAAGCTGGGTAGGATCTCACTTTAAAAGGTCCAAAAAAAAAAAAACTTTCTTGCTTGACTGTACCCAACATAAACATGGTAGATTCATCTGTTTCCACCACCTTGATCCTGATATACAAAATTCCAGATAAAAAGATAAATAAATCACAGCATTTAGACGATTCATGTTTATATTTTTGGTGTAGATGAGATATAGGGTTTAAAGAGTGGTCACCTTTCCATTACCTCCAGTTTTCTGCACAGGGCTTTATAACAGCACTGCTGGGACTGATCTCTGTTGTAGAATGAATTGAAACTATAAATAACTCCAGCCTCTCTTGGTGTAAATCATTTTGAGGTGGTCAAAAGTAGAAACATTAGCTAAAATTTATATCACACTGAGGTGCTGTCTATAGGTAATACATTCTCAAAAATTTGGTGCAGACATCTTGGGAGGATGAAATACACCAACAAAGGAACGAATGAGAAAATAAAGTTTATTTTTGGTTTTCATGATCAACAAGATAAAACAATTATTTGTGAGTTCAATATTTTAATACTGTTGCTGTTAACAAATGAATCAGATGGGTTTAATGTGACAAATGAGATATTAGTTTCTAATAACAGCAGAAAAAAGCCTTACAAAGCATGAGGAACTCAAGGATGGCTAAAATAGACATTGTAAAATTGTGTGGAAAACGGGGTCATTAGGGTCATTGTTGGCCTGGGTGACCAGGGGAGATGTTTTGGTCAGCCAGGCCAACAATGACCCTAATGACTCCCTTTTCAGAGGTATAGGCCATTATCGGGTATTGCAGGCCAACAACGATCTCAATGACCCCCCCCCTTACTGAGGGGTAGACCTGTTCTTTTGGTTCAATTTGGATGTTTTCTAAGCCATAACAAGGCTTTGCTGGGCTATTCTATAAAGCTTGGAACTCAAGGCTTATCCAGACATTTTGAATTGAAAAAGCTTCCTGCATGGGGAGCGAAATGTCTTCAAACATGGAAAAAAAAATCCAGTGGTTTGTTTTTTTACTTTTTTTTTTTAGAATAACTATGACCTGGATGACTGAGGATCTTCACCAGAAGAATTTAAAATCCTCCTTCTCCCATATTAAGCATTAAATGGCCAAGCGCCATCAGAGATATGATTGTTTCTTATGTTCCAAACAGAGCCCTTCACTCTCAATCTGCAGGTTTAGCAGTGGTTCCCAGAATTTCTACAAAAAAATTACTTTAAGTCTTGGACAATAACCTTCACATTTTTAGTATATGTGAAATGTTGGCTCAAAAAGTTAGCTGGTCAATAACTCACATTAGCTTTTATATAAGCTATTCTTTCTTATAAAGCCCTCTCTACTGAGCATTCTAAAGATGCCAGGTGTAGCTTTGAGCATTTTTATGAAGCAACTGCCAAAAATAAAACTGCCTAACTGTTGTGTCCACTCAGCACATTGTATTGTGGGTCCCTATGTAACACCTGTGTCTAACTTAAATGTTGGTAAAGCAGAAATAGGATACCTGCAAAAGGAAATCTGTATAAAATGGCTCTTCTCCTGTTGTTATAAATACAGTTTCTCTCAGTGCCTTTTGTGTATTCCTCATATCACTTTTTAAATTTGCACAACGGTAAAGGCAGTTTTCAAAATAATTTGTTCTAGTTAATGACCTGCAAAAGCATGTCAATTGCTCAAAGCGAATAGTTCATTCCTCAGAAGTACTCATGTCAGTTATGAACAGAATAGTCAAAAGGCTTTGTCATGTTTTTATTATGACTGTTTACTCAAAATATTTTCCAAAGCAAATACATTTGAACTTGGTGACACTGCCTGTAAAATGTTAAAGTGAGCACATAAAAAAAACGTGGAAAAGGTTTATGAATAGGACTGTATCAGAATGAAAGGGATAGATTGTAGCATTGTAACTCTTTAACTCATGTTCTTATAAAATTGTCTGGTCTTTTCAGGGCTTTACAGTAAGATAATTTGCAAGTCTCAACAATTCCCCAACATCTGCAAACATAAATGCAAATGAAATACAAATAAATGCAAATATCAAGCAGACTAATAAGTTAAATCCTACCATCACCCCGACCATGCATGCACCTCCAGTACAGCCTATATCATCAACAAATGTCATACAACTTCAGAAGGAGTAAAATAGGTAAAAAAAATCTCTGTCCTTCATTCAAAAGGAGAAAAGTTATTCCAAAAGCTAAAGCCATGGTTGCCAAGTTTTATGTTGGGATCCCACTAGGATTTCAATCAACAGGTACGTGGTCTTGTAATTCTACTCAGAAATTATACAGTAACTGAAATAAGGAAGGTAGATCATATTTATCCAATATATGTACTGTAAGCAGAGGTGAAAGAAAGTAAAGCAATACATTTTGGGTGAAGTCATTTCTTGTTTGTCTTTGGAGACATCCTCCATACTTCTTAACCCAGCTTGGTATTTATTATGAGTGAACACTTGCAAACACACCAATAGATCCCATCTTTGACTAGTTCTTTCCTCCATAGCTACTTTATTAAGAAGCGTCCTGTGACATCTTGAGTAGAAGCATGCTCCAGGATGTTCTCACAGCACGCCTCTGAACTTTCACAATTCCGAGAAGTCTGTGGGAAGAGCCACTCTGACCCTCTCTGTAAACAACAACAGCTCAGTATACAGCAGAGACTGGCGCGTCCATAAACACTGAGCACCCGGGAGAACAGCACAAAGATAGCTGCAAATCAGACCTCTGGGGTTTTGCGGCATGTAATTTCTTACAAGGGTGCACCATAGTTAGTGGCTCTGCTGTAGTCATATTAAAATTGGATACAGTCTAAATCTTCAAATACAA